TAGCCATGTAATTTTTTGGAGTCGATTAAAATTGCTACTTATTGTTTGATGATACTCTTGGTATTTTTTTATTAATAAAATATAGAAACGCTTACACAAATTAATTGAGAAAATAAGAAAAAAATTTTATCGATTTTATTCAATTCATTTCTAAAAGAGAAACAATGTGTGTGCATCATTTATCAATCGGCTGATGATTTTTTATTAGATTTTCCAGCTAACTTCTGTACCAGACAAATGGGCCTCCCTATACTGAACCTGCGTGACAATATATAAATGGACCTTTTTAAGGCCCAACTAATTATTTCTTCAATATATTGTTCAGAGGGATTTAAAAAGAATTGGGCCATATAATTAGAAGCCTGGAGCGGAACTTAAACTTGTTTGTTTCATTTGATTCGATTTATACCAGCTCGGTACCGAATCATGGTTTTAAATAAGCTTTATAGCTTATTTAGTTTAGAAGAATTTACACTCTATACCTCGTATAATAATTACTAGTGCGCATCCCGTGCGATGCACGGACGAGTTTGTTATTTAAAATATTTTTAAAAATTTTATTTTAAATATAATTATATATATATTTAACATCTCATTATTGCAAGAAAGAAATACAAAATATGAAAAATTATGTATAATTTATTTGAATATAATGAGTGTCTCCAACCAAACCAATGATATCCAACACAGATATATGATAAAATTAATTATATGAATCGTAATACTTTTTAAATATATATAATAAATATGAGATATTTAAGATTCGTATTAAAATTTGTAATTTGGATATGAGATGAAAAATAGATGTGTACAAAAAAATAGGTACCAAGAATCCACATATTATAAGATTCTTTCTAAACTTTAAAAGATTTTGTAGTTCGATACATATGGACAAAAAAATCATCAACTAAATTGAACAATCCAAAATATAAAAATTAATTTTAGAAATTAACATTCTTTATTAGATAAATATAAATTTTAGTTGTGGCCATAAAATATGAGATTTTTAGATAAATAAATATGGATTAAAAATATTTAACAATTAAGTTGTCATGACTTTTCGAGAATATTTCAAAAAATTTCAAACTTTTTATTCAGTAAATGATTAACCAGATTTTTATAACCAAATTTACACGCTTCACCGAATAAATTGAAGGAAATAATAGATCGTATTTTTTGGAAGCAAGATTTTCAAATTTCATTCTCATTATTCATCAGATCTACCCGTAGAATTTAAAGAAATCGTTCCTCATATTTTTAGGAATTAAGGTTTACATAATATATATCTCAAATACCAATATTTTTTGTAAAATTTGAATTCGAATTTTCATTCAGCCGTCATTTTTCAAAGAAAAATACTAATAATAATAACTTTGAAAATTTTAAGCGGGAATTTTAGTACTATTTCAAGTAAGTCCTCTCTCTAATATGTGGTAATAGATATTAATTATATTTAAAAAATGTGGTTAGATAAATGTGGATAAAAAATATTATATTAATTATTTTGTTAGGAATGTGATTATATGAAAGTTAAGATAAAATGAAATGTATTAAAAAATCTTGTGATATTTTTTGTTAAATGTTTGAATTTAAAAATCTAATACAAACTTTAGATTATATCACATAAGAAAAAAAATAAATAATACACGTTTATTAATATATTTAAAATATAAATTTTGATTTCAAATAAAGTAAAAGGCGGGATAACTCGGATTTGTTATAGAAAATTTTTAAAATGTTTATTAGTATTTTGGTAACTATATCGATAAGAATAATCGTACAATTTTAATTTCTAAAAATTTGGTAAGTTTATTAATGAGATAAATTCTGTTAGATAAATGACTAATTAGTTAAAATATTTGTGTTAGATTAAATTATAACGATTTTTTTTATTTATTAAAAAAATATTTTGTATTAAATTAACCTTTTGATTACATTAATTTTATATTTAAATTTTTTTTTTTTATTCAAAAATATTTTCTATCAAACCATAAAATTTTGAAGATATCGATCGCCATAAAATCATAAGATAAATATGCAATATTTATTTTATTATGGTAAAGGATAATCACACCAAATTAAAAATTAAAAATGAATACTCATTATTGTTTAAGATATTGGATTTACAAAAGAGGAAGAAGAAAAAGAAACAAAACTAAATTTAATTGTTTGTTGCATTATTCAAAAATGATGTTTACGACATTATATGTGGATAAGTTGGGATAAATATCAATCAAGTTTTTCTAGGATAAATACAAACATATGAAATATTTTTAGGTTAGATAAATATGAACATAACAAACTTTTAAAATTTGTAATTGATTTATATTATTTTTTCAAACGTTTTTCCTAATTTAGTGGATATGGTCAAATTTACATACATACACTTTTTTTTTCATGAAGAAAAAGTGGTTCCATATTTGAAGGAAATTAGAATTTGTTAGATCATGTTATCTATAACAAACCTATTATACGCGTTTTCAATTGTATGGGCGGGACATGTTAAAAAATTCAAAAAAAAAAATTACGAAATATATAAGCGGGAATATGACTATTATGAAGCGGGAAAACGAATTAGTTTTTTTCGAATTGTTTGAATAGTTTTTCTTAACTGTATTATATAGTAATAAATATTGCATATTTAACACCAGTTAGTTTTTTTTATTTAAATGCAAAACACAAAATAATTGCACATATACCTAATGTTTAATTTTTCGAAGTCAACATGTCAAACATGGAATGTTTTGATTAAGATCTTTTCTCCTTAATTTTTGCAACAAATCTGCTACCAATTAATCCTAAACAGAATCAGATTTTTCACAAACACACGCTCCCTCCTAAACCACCTCTTCCCTTTGACCGCGGCTGCGCCACTCCACCGGCGAGGTTCCATTTCCTTGGCGGCGATTGACACTATGGTCGCGACGTCAATTCTGTCAGGCCTGAGGATCCATGTCGGTCGCTGTTTTNAGTTTCAAATTTTTTGATATTTGGGAATTATCCAACAATGAAGAAACTAACGTGAAATCGAAGCAGGGAAAAATGTATGATCGCATTCATCTGCCTTGGGCCTTCGTGGCCTCTTGTTTTTCTTTTGTAAGGACGCACTGGATACGGTTTTATTATTCTTTTACTCCTATTTTTCGCATATAATTTTTTTGTAATCTCAAATCTGTATTTTAGCCTTGTCTTCTACAGTGTTCTGTTTTAATTACCAAGAAATCTGAAAAATTATGAGAAATGTTACACAATCAGCACATGAATTAACCATCCCCTCATATTTTATTGTTCTCCTGTAATTGAAACTTTGCAACTTTGTATAGTTTATATTCGTATATTTTCAGTATATTTTCATCCCCTCATATTGTATTGTGTTTGTATCGTTCCCCCTGTTATATGTCTGGTTTATATTCAGTATATTTTCGGTATATGTATGGTTTATATTTAGTAAAATCATAAAAAATATATACAATACATATACCATCACTACGGTTTGTATTGTAAGTATATATACCGACATTATATTTTATATATTCACTATATATACCATGATTATGTTTTATATTTACTAAAATCATTGAAATATATAGAACACGTACACCAACATTTTTTGATGGTATATTTTATGTACATATATTAAACATATACTGAATATATACTAACATAAACGCAACATATACCCACCTGGACAGCTGCGTGAATTACAATACATGTTTTTTTTATCTCTATCTATTAAAAACGTTCAATCTGCATGAATTAAGGAATTAAAGGAGTTAGTAATTTATTATATGCATGGTTTTCATTTCTCTCTCTTAATCAAACCCATAAAAAAGGGGATGGATGTTGAATGGATATGGTAACAGACTTTAGGCATTAATATAGTTATATATTATATATTAGGTAGAGATGTAATTATTTGTGTATGAATTGTATTTTTGCAATATTTTCAGAATGTTGTAGGATAGATGAAAATTTCCTGTTAGTTTAATTACAAGTTTATTGGTATTTGAATAAGTTTGATTTGATAGAATTAACTTTTTTAATAAGGTGGAGTTTATCTTATAAATTTTCTTAAGTAGCTTTTTATAATAATCCATTCAAAATTTATTCAGCTGACTTATTAATTAATTTTACAAAATATTTTTTTTAGATATAGGAGTTAGTTTTTCAACCATCACCTATAAGCTAAGCTCCAAATTCACTTATAAGATATCAGTTAGCTTTTCAGCTAGTTTCACTAAATATAGCTTGTATATAGATTACTTTTTCTAAAAAAATGTGTGAGTAAAAAGAATGAGTTAAAGAGCAGGTAAAAAAGAAAAATAGGTGGAGAATAAATTAATTTTTAAAATGTTTATGATTGGTATTTGTAATATTTCATACTACTAAAATCTAACCTTTTTTATTTAAAAAATAGTCTTACCGTGTTGAGCTATAGAAATTACATAAAATCCATACTTTCGAGTCTTAAAAAATTGAGCCGAACTCGTTAACTAAACAAGTTCAAATTGCTCGTTTCTTAATAAGCCGAGCCGAACAGGGTTCACAAACAGCTCGTTTCATTTAACAACTCTAGAAATTGATGAATGGAATTGTTAAACTTTGACAATCACAATTGAAATGGGTAAAAGTAAAACTAACTGTTTGGACCATAATCCATGATATAGAAGCTTGTATAAATGACTATATCCACAAATTTACATGTTCATATTCTCCCCAAAACTTCACCATGCATCAATCAATCAAACTTAGAAAACACACATATTAGCCATGAATCATATTAATCACTCTTAAGTTATAAAAAATGCCAGGAAATGTATATAGTAGAAAAGAATCCTTTTTTCCAACAACACCAGAATGAAAATAAAATTTCCCAAATGCCCAAAAATTTCAAGACTCTATAACTAAACCCCCCTTCCCAATAAATAATGATCATCAGTTTTCCTAAATCCAATGAACAAATCAAAGCCAAATCAATGCA